ACAACAGACTTGGCTTATGACCTCATTCATTTTGATGAAGAAACTGACTACCTGTCCAATGCTCCATCCTGGGAAAACTCAGCTTTAAGGAAAACAACCAATCTAAGCAATAAGGTTGTATTAGTCTATTCTTAGGCTAACACAAAGGGTACCAGGAGGGTGAAATTGGGCATCCTCCTGGTTTATTTCTCTCATGTAGCTATGTGGACTTCTCGGCTTAGTAGAACCAGGGATTATATGAAAAAGATGTAATGCCCAGCCTCTGTGGCTCAGTGGATTAATTGACATCCCATGGACTGAGAGGTCCTGGTTCAATTCCAGATCAGGGCACATGCTCAGCTTTAGGGCTCCATCCCCAGTGGGGGGAGTGCTGGAGGCAGCCAACTGATGTTTCTCTCTCATCGATGTTTCTCCCTCTCCCTTTCTCTCTAAAAAAAAAAAATCAATAAAAACATGTTTAGAAAAAAAAAAGATTTAATAAGGAGCACAGTACAGTTATAGGCCAACCAAAGTTATAACTGAAGCAAGATGTCACTCCTAGACTTACTCCTTTGGTTGCTGGTTTGTGGGGATTCCAGAGGAGGGTTTAGGATGACCATGGCAGTAGGTTGAGCTCAGAGGACCAAGGGATGTTATTGTCTACCAGCATTTATAGAAATATTCTTATATTGTAACAATAGAGTGGTCTTACTGGTGTGTTGCTACTGAATATCAACCCTAAGTAGAATTGATGAGGCAATATGACACAGCTATGTTTATTTATCAACAACATTTATCAATTTTCCAGAGTCATCAGGAGAAGTCTGCAGAATCCCAACATTTCTTAAAGATGCCTATGTTGAATGTAAACCCTCCATGTTAATTTTAGTTTCCTCTTTTGACTCTACCTCAGTTTCCATCCAGGACCTCCCTGTCCTGAGCCATATAGTTCTGCCCAACTCAGAGTCCAAATAGGCCCATCTCCTCCTTGTACTGACATGTTATCTTAATGTGTGGAGTGCTTTAGGATCCTAGACTACCTCATTTAACCCAATGTATCGTCCTTCCTTGGAAATGACTCTAAAAATACTTATTTTCTTCTAAGTGTGGAGAAGACTATTAGGCTTTTATAATCCAAATTATGAAAAAAACCACCACAGTTTCTCTTTCCCCCTTCCTTCCCCTTTTAACATATGTGTGTTTTATGACAATGTTCTAGGTACCAAGAATTAAAAAAAAAAAGTCCTCCACTCATAGGGATATGGACCTTAAAACTAATGAAACTTAAGCTTCATGCCCCTCACTCATATGTACTTTTTTTAAGGCCCCAAGAGGGGACCTAGAAAATGTTCACCTGGTTTATATATTTTATACATTTTTTTTTTATCATCCTCACCCGAGGACATTTTTCCATTTTTTGTTCAGGTAGAGTTGGAGGGAGAGAGAGGAACAGAGAGAGAGAGAAACATCGACGTGAAAGGGACACATCGAGTGGTCGCCACTCGCACAACCAACCAGGGCCGGGGACAAACTGCAACCGAGGTACGTGCCCTTAGCGGGAACCGAACCCGGGTCTCTCCGGACCGCAGGCCGACGCTCTAACCGCTGAGCCAAACCGGCCAGGGCTATTTTATACATTTTTATAAAATTTGCAGATGTGAGCTATTTTACCTGAAGTTGGTTAAGAATGTTCTCTTTCCACTAAAATTTTCCCACCATCACACTCCCCCTCATATTGGATAACATTTGAGTGGCAGAAGGTATTCTGGAACTCCTTCTAAGGAGAAATTGAGTTTGGGATATATCTGATCTGGGTTTACTATGATGTATATAGATGGTATGCAGTCACATCTATATAAAGTTATTTAGTTGTTTTAATGTGTGAATGGCATTCAAGAACACTCCAACTGTCTGCTGTGCTTCTTTATCATGTGACACCAATTACGAAATAAAATGTGTCCTACAGTGCTCAATTCCAAAAATTTGTGGCTAGATGAAGAGAAGATCTGAAACGTACAGAATCTGAAGCTATATCTGAAACCTTCCTCCAATCATCAGACAAATACAATTATTAGCAGAGAACTGGGTCTCATCAACACTTAGTCCAAACAGAATTTGTCTCTCAACTAACATCACCCTGATAAATTCAGTAAAAAAGTTGTCTCTCATTTGCAAGTAATAATGTAGTGTATATTATTATAAATGCACTGTGCATTTTTCTGTTTTGATGGTAATCATGCAAAATAGGAGTTATCAGAATGTATATGTTTGTAGGGCACATTTGTAGCAGTACTACAGTGAATTTGGGTGTGAGGATGCATGTTGTAAAAATCCCATTTATTAATAATAAAAACAAACTGGTCAAACCATGCTAGAAGACTGAATTATTTCTCTATTACCTTTATCAAAAATATATAATAGCCCTAGCCGGTTTGACTCAGCGGTTAGAGTTTTGGCCCTTGGACCAAAGAGTCACAGATTTGATTCTCGGTTGAGGGCATAGTTTTGATCCCTGGACCCTAAGGTTGTGCAGGAGGTAATAAATCCATGTGTCTCTCTCGCATTGATGTTTCTTTCTCTCTGTCCCTCTCCTTCCCTTCCACTTTATCTAAAAAAAGAAAAATCAGTGGAAAAATATCCTCTGGTGAGGATTAGGGGGGAAAAACATACACACACACATAGTATAAACCCCCTAGCAATAGGAAAGGATACACCTAATTGGGGTTCCCTTATATCAGTCAGGGGCAAAGCAGACGTACAGGACTTAGTTCATTCTAGTTTGATGCCTGTGTTGGTGGCCAGAGCTGTTTCATGTCTGGGACACACACACACACACACACACACACACACACACACACACACACATTGAGCCTCCCTAAATCATTCCTTACAGCCCAACATACAGAAGTATGAGGCACTGCAGAGAAGCTTCATGCTGCCCTGGCCAGTTTGGCTCAGCGGTTAGAGCGTCGGCCTGCGGTCCAGAGAAGCTTCATGCTCCTTTAATCTTTCCTGCTTTTTCCTTCTCAGAATTTCAAAAGCATTGTTCAAATAGAAAACACAGATAACCTTTGTTCCTTGGCTATAATGTAATCAGTGATGCAACATAGCAGGGCATTGGGTGTGATCTAGCCTGGCAGTGAAACAGAAATTGGTTAATGAAAGTGACTACCCAAAAAGGCCTACATTAATTTCAGCATAAGAAGAGAGCAACAAGGGACAAGTGAGAAGTGTGGGGAAAAGAGAAAATATGAGTCATGTTAACAAATAGTGTACAGAATTCATTTTCCTCATGGAGAAACATAATGGCTAAAGCAATGTTTTGATAGAAAGAATTTAATTACAAAGAAAATTTTTCTGCTAGCAATTCCACTTAGCAAGATGTACAATATAAAAATGATATCATTCATTGATTCACTTAACAAAAACATGTAAACTGTCCTAGTGTCCCTGCTTCTCCCAGTTCTCAAGAAGCTCACTGTCTAGTGGAACAGACTGGCATGTAAACATGTAATTTCAGAGCCTCTATAAAGGGGATGCACAAAGGGTATAAAGGAGAAATGTCAATTCTGTGGACAGCAGTGTGAAGGAAGGTACTCAGAGTGGAGGTAATGTTTTGCCTAAATACTGAAGGAAAGTATGGGATTGAGACAAAAAGCATTACAGGTGGAGGGAATGAGACCAAACACACAGAAGTAAAGACACTGGAACCCACATTGTTCTTTAGGGGATGGGTGTAATTTGACTTAGCTGAAGCTTAGGAAGAGAAATATGAGGAGATGTGGGCAGGAGTCACATTACCTAAGCCCTGTGAGCCATGTTAAGAATTTCACCCCATGTGCCAGTTGCTTCTAAGGAACATCAGATGAACCAGGTGTTCCCATAACAAGTCAAAGGTTATAGATCAAAAGATGCATACAATGTAAGGACATTCTGACACGTTACATGTGGATGAACTTGAAAACATGCTAAATGAAATAAGGTAGATACAAAAGGACAGACTTTGTATGATTCCACTTATATGAGGTATCTAGAATAGTCAAATTCATAGAGACTGAAAGTAGAATAGTGGTTCCTAGAGGCTGGGGGCAGTTACTGTTTAGTGGTTATATAATTTCAATTTGAGATGATGAAATGTTTTGGAGATGGGTAATGGTAACAGTTCACCATAATGTCAGTGTAATTAATGCTACTGAACTGTACACTCAAAAAGTCTTAAAGTAATACATTTTATATTATGCACATTTTACAATAAAAACAGTTTGAAATGGTAACTTTGTTATATATATTTTTACAATTGAAAAATATAGAGATGAAAAGATATAGCCAAAATATTCAGAGAAATAATTCATAGTTCTTTTATTTCTTGACATTAAAATTAGATATGTCATTTATTTGCTCAAGCTGATAATAATGATTTGTTTGTTATATAATAGCTACCATTTCCTGAAAACCGGTTCTGTGCTAACCTTCCCTTCATCGAGATGAGGAGATGCAGGCTCAGAGAGCTCAAGTAACGGGCCCAAGAGCACACAGCTAGTGAGGAGGCATTTCTAGGAAATCTGGAATTGAAACCCAGCTCCCAACACCCTGTTCTTTCACCAGTCCACAAGCTGCTTTATTCTCTTGCTACATTTTTGGACATGTCAATATTTTTCCTTAAAAAATTCTTCCTTGATCTCAGAGCGTATTTTTTATATTTTCTGGGTTCAGAAAATGTCAAGCCTGAGGCAATGCAGAATGAAAAGTTGAATGTTTACTTTTGATCCACCTAACTTTTGAATGGCTTTGACCCTCTGCAAGAGAGACCAAAAGAGCCTCCAAAATGAGTCTAGACGCACACAATCCGTGAACTGCGCGGCCAGCCACCTGTTACCGAGTGGCGAGGGCACGCGTTATGTCGAGGCCGTTATCTGCAAAGGAGGCTTCAGCCCCGCGGGCCCAGCCTCCCCGAACCCAGGTGCGTGGCCGCGAGGAGACCCAGCGCGGCTTGCGCGCAGGCGCGGGGTGGCGGCGTCGCTCGGCGGCTGTGCTTTGCAGCCTGGCGTTCCGGTGTCTCCTCCGAGCGGCCCGCGGGCTGCCTCGCCCCCTCGCCCCGCACTCAGGTGGCCGCACGCCCTTCTCCCGGCCCTCTGCATCCCTTGCCCAGGCCTAGCGGCGCACAGCCCCTCCCCTCTGACCCCGCGGTGCACCCTGCCCGAGCAAAGTCCCGGGGGTGTGAACCCCGGCGCTCCAGCCCCTGGGCGGGGACGGCCGGCGGCCGTGCGGGGAGCCGGGGCGGAGAGCGCGCGGCCGGCCCAGTGCGCCGGTGCCGGCCCCGCGAGCGCCCCGCGAGCCGCCGCCGCAAGCCCCCCGCGCCGCTCGCCCGCCGCCGGGCCCGCCCGCCGCTCCCCTCACAGGCCGCCGCAGCCATGGCGGAAGTTCATAGACGTCAGCATGCCCGGGTTAAAGGAGAAGCCCCCGCGAAAGCCTCCACACACAGACATGAGGAGGAGCTGGGGATGGCGTCGGCCGAAACGCTGACCGTGTTCCTGAAGCTGCTGGCCGCAGGCTTTTACGGCGTGAGCTCCTTCCTCATCGTGGTGGTCAACAAGAGCGTGCTCACCAACTACAGGTAGGGCCGAGGCGGCGGGGCCGAGGCCGCGGACAGGAGCGGGCGGCGGAGGGACGCCGGCTCCCTGGACTTTGGCTGCCAAAGTTAAAGCTGAACAAAGTTGGCGGGGAGCTGGGGAGGGCGGGCGGCTGACACGCGGCCGGGGCGGCGGAGCCGGCTGCGCGCGCCGGCCGGGGCGGCGGTCCTGCTGCGGGCGCGGAGCTCCGGGCGGCCCGGCGCGTTCCGAGAGCGCCTGGCTGCCGTGCCCGCCGAGCAGCGCCCCGCAGCCCTGCCCTTCCGAGCGCTGCAGCGAAGTTGCTTCCTGACCTGTTGGTCCCTGTGCATGCCAGGCGGGGAGCAGAGCGGGGGATGCCCTCCCTCCGCAGCCCGGGCTGGGGGCCGGGGCTCCCAGGTTCCCCGAATTCGCTGACAGCCTCCGCCGACCTGCGCATCCTCAAGCCCCTGTAAAAGGAGCCAGATGCTGTCACTGGAACCCCGAGGCAGGAGCATTTCTCCCTTAAAGGCGTGAGACCCTTGAAGAAACCTATGTCTTCATTTCCTTCCAAAAATCCGTTGCAGGCAGCGGACTGAAATGGTAGAATCGGACAAGATGAGGCAAGTGGCCGCTCGAGGCTACAAAACCAGCGGTGTTGCCTGGCCACGCGCAGGGATTTTTCTCACCGATTTTCACGTGGACTGGGGGCTGACATTGGTGTGTTTTCTATCAAAAGGCACTGTAAGGTTGCGATATGCTAATTGAATTCACCGAGCTACGTTGGGGTTTTCTGACCCTGTTTTTTTTCTCTCTCTCTCTCCCTCTCTACCATTTTGTAGATTTCCCTCCTCACTATGTGTTGGACTTGGCCAGGTTAGTTGGAATCTTCAGCATTACGTGGTTTATGTCGTTAGAAGTTCTCAGTGTGTCCTTATATGTAGAACAGTGAATCTGTGTTCTCTGTTTACAGATGGTGGCTACCGTGGCACTTCTCTGGGTGGGAAAGGCGCTCAGAGTGGTCAAGTTTCCTGACCTTGACAGTAATGTACCTCGAAAGGTAAAATTAATTAATACTTTATTTTCCGAAAAGAACTCACCACACACACACACACACACACACTTTTTTAAAATCAGTGACTTGCATATTAAAAAATTGTCGCCCAATCCAGAGTGGGTATAATGAAGGTAAAGAATAAATGTCATAGCTATTATTTAAAAGTTCCACAATCTCTTTAAAATTAAGGGGGGAGGGAGCCCCTAGAAATCATGTGTTGTGTTTTAATTAATGAACACTTTTTGGAAATGCAACTGGTTTGCATTTCTACATCTAATCTAGCCAGTGTATTCTTCATTTATTATTCTTCGGGTGTATTTTCTTATTCTTCTGTCTGCATCTGCTTGACTCCACATGAAGATGAAATGCATTTTCTTTTTCTGCTGACATTAGAGCTGTGGGGTAATACATTATCATATTTTAAAGTAAACGATGTGTTTGTCCCACATGTTTGATCATAGTCATATTCAGCCCTGGCCTCCTCCCCCCATGCTTCCCTCTCTTTCTGCCATACTTGTGCTGTTTATTAAGGAATAATTTTGTTTGGGCACTATATGGGGGCCAAAATTGTGTATGAGAACTAATCTTATGTTCTAAAGGGAAATAATCTAATCATGTAAACACAACTGTTTCTGTTTGAAAGGCCCTGTTTTAGGTATCTTTATTATTGAGTTTTTTATCCCTTTTTAAATTTTCTAGACGTTTCCACTACCTCTACTATATTTTGGGAACCAAATCACGGGACTGTTCAGCACAAAGAAACTGAAGTATGGATAACTTTATTTTCCTAGTGAGGTTATATAATGTATTCTTAACATTGTATTTGAATGCCAAAAATTTAACACATTGTTATTGATTCTGAAATAAATGAAAGGACCAGAAAGCTTCTGTTACTAAATAATGTAGATTACACTAAAGGTTTTAGTTTAAGCTCTTTAAGTTTAAAGAGAAAGAGGATTTTTTTATTGTTTTTGGGTTTTTATCCCTCAGTTTGATGATAAAAGTCTTAAAATGTTATAAAATGTTGTGATAGGACATTTTCATTATTTTTCCAGATCTATAGTAGTGAGGGATATAGTAGCCAGGCCTTTGGGATTTAAATTCTTAATACAGCTTATAAATATTATATTTTTGACAAATTCCACAAGCAAAATCAAAGGTTGGATATGAGAACTTCTGTAGTTTTTTTAAAACATGTTAAAAGAACATTAACTGGAACCCTGATTTAAGTATGATTAGTATTTTACTCATGGCCGTATAACTGTAAAGGCATGTGATAGCTGTCTATGACAATACTGTCTTATTATCCTATAACCTAATTCTTGACTTCTGCACTTAAGGAGTATAGTATGTATTGGGTGTATGTGATGTTAAAATTATATGCACAAGGAAACCATTTAACAGAAACCCATGGCTTCAACACTTCCATGTGAGCTAAACCCCTGGCATACTTACTGGATGATTGTAAAACAGAATGGGGAGATCTCTGAGGATCAGAGACAAGCTGTTTTTCATTTCCTCTTTCTTTAGACCCAAGAACTTGACAGAATGACCATGATGATATCTCTGGAAAGTGTTCCATGAAAGTTAAATTTATCATGGGTGGGGCATCTTTTTCCATCTCATTACCCACTTGGAAAGAAATGCAGACCTTCTGCAAAGGCTGCTTAATAGAGTTTGTTCTTTTCCTTCCTTCCATCCATCCATCCACCCACCCACCCACCCACACTCTATCTTTGATTGCCAACTAAATATAAGGCACTTTGCAGTGAGATTAGCTATATTCATAACTAACTATATTATAAGAGGTTGTATGTTTGAGCACTACAAGCAAAATACTCTGGGAATTTAGAAGAAGACAAAATTACTTCCACAAAAGGACAATTAAGGAATGTCTCATGAAATAAAATTATCATAGGTGTTGTTTGCAGGGATGGAAGTGGAGGAGCGTCCAGTAAAGAAAGGAGAAAGAGGTCTTTTTCTCTTAAAGACTAACTTGGTTACTCCCCAGGGTATATACATAATAAGTAAAATTTAAGAAGTGGCTGTTAATAGTCTTTGATAATAGATGTATGATCTCGACTATTTTAGAGTTAGTTTAGTGTTTCTCTCTGCTAGTAGTTCTGTTAAAGTAACCTTTTCAGGCTTTCAAATAAAGATTATTTTTTAGAGAGAAATAGGGTTTAATTTAATTACAGATTAATCAGCATAGAAGTTTTAAAATACTAATTTGGAGAATCTTTTAAAACAGTTAAAAAAATACATTGCTAAACTTTATTTCACCTAATTATCTTTTATTTATTTTTCAGCTTGCCAATGTTTACAGTTCTGAGAAGGTTCTCCATCCTGTTTACAATGTTTGCTGAAGGAGTTTTACTTAAGTGAGCTAAATTTCTAATATATGTAGTCTTTAACAAACTTAAATAATTTTGAAAAGGTACCCAGCATAATAATTATTTAATAAAAGTATTAAAATTATTTGTCTTGCTTCTACTTAATCTTTTGGAAAGTTTAAGCAACTTTATCCCTTTGCTATAGGAAAGTTTATGGGAGCAGTAGTTGGGAAGGTTATAAATTGGAGTTAGAAACCTATCTGAACATGAGATATGCTTTCAGGAATTCCTATACCTACTGCTGCCACTGGGTGAAGCTGGGTCAGAAACATCAGTATAGTTTTTGGGTTGTTTTTTTTTAATTTTCACTTGAGGATATGTTTTTATTGATTTTTATAGAGGGGAAGGGAGAGAGAAACATCGATGGGAGAAAGAAACATTGATCAGTTGTCTCCCATCGTCGCCCTGATCAGGGATCAAACCTGCAACCCAGGTATGTGCCCTGACTGGTAACCAAACCATTTTGGTGTACAGGACAATGCTCCGACCAATTGAGCCACCCAGCCAGGGCAGTATAGGTTTTAAATAGTGTTCCTGTCTTGGCTACTTTTACTATAAATGTGTGTGACCTTTTTCTACTTAAAGAAATTCCGATTTGCTGAAATTCAAGGTCAATAATAACAAATGGTAAGAAAGAAATAAATGAGTATACTTATTTATATAACAAAATAAGTTTTTGCTCATCAGAGGAGTTCTTTTAAATATCCAGTTCCTTGAAAACATTTAAAATATGACTGTTTATAGCTTTTATCAAAGATAACATATTTTTTTGTGCCTTAACATATCTTTGTGAATAAAGCCATGTGTGTATATTAAAAAAAATTTTTTTTATAGGAAGACTTTTTCTTGGAGTATTAAGATGACTGTATTTGCAATGATTATTGGAGCTTTTGTAGCTGCCAGGTAAGACATGGACCTATATAAACCTAGAGCACATTACAGATTATTAATAATTAATGATCAATTGCCAATAAAGATAATATTTATAGGTTAAATAAGAATTATACCTTTGAAGAGCATCCAAAAGGTTTTTCAAATGTTCAATCTTTTGGGGTTTGTTAAGATCAAGGCCGGCAAAATCAGATTCTTGGGATTCTTAAAACTTAAATTCATGTTATTTAGGATTTATTATATACTGTCTTCTGATTGAGCACATACCACATGCCACACAATATGTTTGACATTTTTACATATTAGTTATGTATTCACAACTCTGAAAGATATGGGTATAGTTTTCTGTTTTATAGTTGAGGAAACTAAAACCTAAATTCAGTAACTTGTTCAAAGTCATAAGCTAGTAAACAGTAGAGCTGGCTGGAATTTGAATCTGTGCCTGGTGCTTTTATAAACCATGTGGCATGTTTTACTCTGCATACTGCTAAAGAAAATAGTGTCTCAGAAAAGGCAAGTGATAATGAATTATTTGCCTTGTGGAAAAATAAATAATAGAATTGCTTTATTTGGCCTCACTTAAGATATATCACAAATGCTGTAACTTAGTCTATTGAATTATTAAAGTTTTTTTCATCACTCTTAAGTTTTAGTTTTCAAATAGAGGGAGAAAGTGTATATTCAAAGACTCAGAAAATTAAAGTGATGGCTAGAAGCCTTCTACAACATTTTACTCAGCCCAGGATATGCATATGTGGGTTTGCTAATGCCACAAATTCTGCCTGACTTATTTTTTTCATTTGGGAGTTCCAGTGAACCTCTTGGATTGGCTCATCTACCTTCATCATATCCCTGTGGTATAGATGGGGGTGGGAGGAGCAATCTAAAAAATTCTATTCCACCCAAAATCTCCAAGTGAAACTTTATTGTTTAAAAGAGCGGGGCTTGGAATAATTGGTTACTAGAATTTTATTATATAGCTAACTGCTTTTCCCTCTAGATATTGCCTCCTTGGAAAAAAATCCTATGTGAGCATCCTGCCTTTCTTTTTGAAGCATTTCCTTGAAGCTGGTGGGATACAGCATTGAGCCAAACGATAGGGGTTCCTCAGGGCTAACATCTGGCCTGCAAAGTTTCTGAGGAGGATTGCAATCTGGACCAGCCTTGCCTAATTAGAAACTTTTACTTGGGAAAGAGATTGGGAGGAAGGGAGTCTGAAGTTAGGGGGTTGTCAGGCTGCTTGAAAGGGTGTGTGTGCATAGGCTAGTTCTGCCTAAATTGCAATTGGCATAGAGTTCCTCAGAAGTCTTGTTCCATGTAGTAGTAGTAGTAGTAGTAATAGTAGTTTAGATACAAACACGTGCTATCTTTGCAAAATCACAGTAGGTGGGACCACTATTTAGCTAGGATGCTAAAATATGAAGGCATACTTTTCTTAGAGTTTCATTTATTCTGTTGAATTTAAGACATTCTTATCTCTACTAAATACTAAAAAACTTCAGTTTCCCTAATGCCACTAATTATACCGCATAGGCACATTAAGCAATTATCTCAGTATTTGAGTTCCTACTGTGTGCTTTCGGACACTGTTGTAGCTTGATCTCAGTTAGAACTAACCATGATCCACACTTCAGAAATTCCACCTAGTGGCCCAGCCACCTGTGCAAAATAGTCGTACCTTTTGTGTGAACCTTTGGAAAATGACATGTTAACAACTCATTCTTTTCATTTTCTTACCTGTGAAATTGAGTTCTGGTGCCTTCTGGCTGCTTCAGATGTAGTAGAGAATTTTGTTGCTTGTTGTTGTCTGACTTTGAATTCAGAGCAGTGTGCTGTTTAACTGACATGATTGTTTATTGCTAGTGATTTTAAGTGTTAGTGCTTCTCATTTCTGAAGACTCTTTTAAGGATAAAATTGCAGTTTGTAACTAAAAGTCAAGAAATACTAGTAGTTGATAAAATGCCTAATGTTCATTTACCTAGAAAAGAATATATATGTTCTTACAAATATTCTGTTCAGACCTACTTAAAATCAAATGCATGTTCTTTAAATGTAAGTTGTTAAATTGTTGCTTATGTTTTGCAGCTCTGACTTGGCATTTGATCTAGAAGGATATGTTTTTATTCTAATAAATGATGTCCTGACAGCAGCAAATGGTGCATACGTAAAACAAAAATTAGATTCAAAGGTAGGTGGCAATCTAAAGTTTCTTTAAGAGATGTTTACTGATCTTGGGAATGAAAATGTCAATTCATTAGAGAAGAAGCAGGGAATAAAGAAAGATACGTAGGAGGGGTAGGAAAGAAACGGGATCTCCAAGGGTAGAGAAAAGTTCATGGTTATATTTTAGAGAACTTGGTGAGGGACCTGGACAAGAAAGAAATATCTGAAAGTGCTTGAGCAGATTTGAGGAGAAGTGTGTTGGAAGAGGCTGCAGAAGAAGAATGGACTTTGTGTATTTGTCCTACAAATAATGGGAAACTTTAGGGAGCGTTAGGATCTCTCTGTCTCAGGGACAACACCGAGTTCCCTGGCCTAGATCTCACACACATGAACGTTATATACCCAGCTCTTTTCTCTCAACTTGTAGCATGCACACAATGGCTTTAAAGGTATTTGCTGTTAGTTTGTCTACTATATACTTTGAATATAGGCACACCAAATTTTATTTTTAGATATATAGTCAGATCGTCAGAAAGCTGAGTATTTGAGCAACACTGCTTTACTATGTTATGGTATAAGATTACATTATTATAAGAAGAAGCTGTATGGAACTGAGCTTTACATATCATCGGTTGTTACTGAAGGAGTTGTCCTTTCTATCACGATGTATCCTATATGGGGACCCACATGAGATACTTACCATAGATGTCACCATAGTTTTTCCTGAATAGCTGGTGATTTTATCTGATTGTAACTGACTGTGGCTTTATCTTATTTTCCTATTTGTGTTTTCTCTTCAGTCAGATGACTTTATCTGCTTAGTTTTAGTCAGATGACCTTATTGCCTAGTTTGTACAGTGTTTCTGAAACTATTTAGGCTCTTTTTTGGCGATTAGATCATAAATACCAATGCCTTTCTTACTCTGTAGAGGTATTAGTATTGAGTTTGTATCGTGTTGGTGAGGGGTTCTGCCTTCTCCAGAAAGAACCATAAAATGCATGGCCATCCTGATAGCTCTCATTTTCAGAGAATGTTTATTTCTAATATCCTTGAAGAACTAGGGACAATGTAGATGTGTTTCCAACAAATTTTCTTTTTTTTTTTATCCTCAACCGAGGACATTTTTGCATTTATCTTCAGATAGAGCAGAGAGAAGAGAGGGAGGAAGAGAAAGAGAGAGAAACATCAATGCGAGAGACACATTGAATGGTTGCCACCCACACAACCCCAATCAGGGCCAGAAACAAACTGCACTTAGTGGGAGCCAATCTCGGGACTCTCTGGTCCGCGGGCCGACGCTCTAACCACTGAGCAAAACGGGCCTGGGCCCAACAAATTTTCTTTAAACATGCCTTTTATGTCTTGTTCTCCATATTCTTTTTTTTTTTTTTTATCCTCACCCGAGGACATTTTTCCATTTTTTGTACAGATAGAGTGGGAGAGAGAGAGAGAGAGAGAGAGAGAGAGAAACATCAACGTGAAAGAGACATCGAGTGGCTGCCACCCACACGACCAACCAGGGCCGGGGACAAACTGCAACCCAGGTACATGCCCTTAGCGGGAACTGAACCCGGGTCTCTCCGGACCGCAGGCCGACGCTCTAACCTCTGAGCCAAACCGGCCAGGGCGTGTTCTCCATATTCTTACCATGACAATTCAATATGATCATTGCATTTTAATGGAAACTACTATTAAAAACTTTTTATCTTTTTGAAATAGCTAAATAAAAGGGACCATTTAGAGATTTAGTTTTATTGTGTATTTTGTTTTTTTTCCTTCAGCCCATTTGTGGAAAACAGATGGGAATAATAATATTTCATTTGTCCGGCAGCCTCAGCTCTCACAGACAGTACTATCTAATAGAGTTTTCTGTGACGATGGACATTTTCTGTATTTCTGCTGTCCATTAATGGTAGCCACTAGCCACCTGTGGCTGTTGAACACTGATAAGTCCCTAGTACAACTGAGGAACTGAATCGGTAGTTAATGTAATTATAGTTAAATTGAAATAGCTGCATATGGCTAGTGGCTACCACATTGTACAGCAGTCTGTAGTATATCCTAGAACCTAGAAAAAAAGCAAAGAGGGTTTCTGAGTATTTCATTCCAAGGAGAGCCCTTTAGTTCCTCAGAAAGGACTTGTGACCTATTTGTAAGAAACCTTTTAAGCATATTGTTCTGCTTTTCATAGTTCATGTGTTAGGAGCAACAAACTAGAAGATGGAATTCTATTTAGAAGCAGAGAAGCTCACCAGCAGTATAAAAGACCAGCTAAAAACAAGAGAAACAAGCAGGAAAACGATAAAAATCTGACGGAAGTACTGAAAAATGATTCAGGGGCTATTAAACAGCCTTAAGGGCAACACCATATAAGAACAAAATATAGCCCTGGCTGGTGTGGCTCAGTTGGTTGGAGCCTAGTGGAAAGGTTGCAGGTTTCATTCCTGGTTAGGGCACATACCCAGAGTTTGGGTTTGATCCCCGTTTGATCCCCATTCAGGCCATGTGCAGGAGGCAACCATCGATGTTTCTCACATTGATGTTTCTCTCTCTCTACCTTCCTCTCTCCAAGGTCTATAAAGAAAAAACACACAATATGATAATGCATGTTTATGATGAAGGCCTAAATTAAATTTTAGTCTACTCTCTTTAAGAAGGCAGGGGAAAAATATTTAAAGCAGTTAAAATGTGAAAAGAAAAACAGAACAGTTTGGCATTTAAGTTTTTGGCATTTGTCTGTTGTCTGGATGGGTGTGCATGTGTGTGTATGTGTGTGTTTCCTGTGGTGTGTAAGCATCCTCTTTAAAGGATGGATAACATTCATGTCTCTGGTTGACTGAATACCTATTGTTGAAGGTGGTTTTGTCGTATGGCTTTTTTTCTTGTTGCCTTAGAAACAATGTGTACCTTTTTACCACTGATGCTTGTGGTGGTAGCCATCAGTTTTTTGGTTTATCTAAGAAGCAGTTTAGCCACATTTAGAAGCTTTTAATAAAACAGGAGTTTTATTACCTGTAATCCCAGGACTGCTTATTATGGTCCTTTGAGTATGAGTCATATGGCATAAAAACTTAGTACTGCATTTGAGACATGAATGCAGCTATTGAATTTAAAACATTAACTTTAAAGAAATCACAAATAATACATATTTATAATAAAAGTAGTAGAAAACATAGATAAGAGGAAAAAATATATAAATCTTCCTTGATTCTACCATCAAGTGAAAAGCACTGTTTTGGTGGATATCATTTAGTATGTGTGTGTGTGTACACACTTAACTATGTGTAAAATTTTTATTTATTTTTATTTTTTATTTTTGTAATCCTCACCCGAGGACATTTTTTCATTTTTTGTTCAGATAGAGCGGGAGGGAGAGAGAGGAAGAGAGAGGAAGAGAGAGAGAAACATCAACATGAAAGGTACACATCGAGTGGCTGCCACCTGCATGACCCAACCAGGGCCGGGGACAAACTGCAACCGAGGTGCATGCCCTTAGTGGGAACCGAACCCGGGTCTCTCTGGACCGCAGGCCGACACTCTAACCGCTGAGCCAAACTGGCCAGGGCTGTGTAAAATTTTTAAAGAGCAATGTTATATAATATTTTCTAAACTACATTTTTCATCTAGTACTGTTTCATGAACATGTTTCAGTATTATTAAACATTTGTAGTGGCTGCATAATGTTTCATTGTATGGTTGGTTGTATCATAGTCTAATCAACCAGTTTTCTATTGGTGGATCTTTGTTTCCAGTTTTTCAAAGCTTCTTTTGAGAAGACAGTTGGACTTTTTACATAATTCAGTGATCTTTCAGTCACAGAAGTTAGGCAAATATTATGTCCCTATCCTCACTTCTTCACCCCTCCCCCTGCCCGACCCCCCAAACTCAGGCCTACTTTTATAGGTGATTCTGCTTCCCGGTGAATGTCCCAGAAGTGTGTGAGTCAGAGGTAGACCCAGAGTTCTCATAAGCTCTCTGTGTTTGAAGATGTGTGTGGTCCTTCACTGCTCCCCGGCAGCAGAGGTTACTAGTCATGCTATGTTTTAGGAATTATAGATATAGTAATTTTAATTTTTAATACATTTCACATATACATTTTCAGAAATACTTCACTGGGAAGTTATGTCTGTGTGTCTAGATCCTTTTGATTCAATTCTGGAAAGGGGGAGACTGGTCAAGATGACGGCGTAGGTAAACGCGGTATCGCCTCCTCCCACAACCACATCAAAGTTACAACTAAAATACTGAACAACTATCATTCAAAACCACCTGAAATCAAGCCTAATGGAAGTCCTACAACTACAGAATTAAAGAAGCAGCCACATCGAGACTGACAGGAGGGGCGGAGGCAGAGGGGCTGGTCCCACACCCACGTGGGGCAGATAAAAATCAGGAGGACACTTTGGCTGGGAAGGTCCTCCCTGAGGACTGAGGGGTCCCCGCCCCACACCAGGTGCCCCGCTCAGGGTCCCAGTGCCAGGAAGAGAAGTCCCCATAACTTCTGGCTGGAAAACCAGTGGGAACTGAGGCTCAGGGAGGCTGAGGCAGCTGGAACCCCAGGCAGCTCCTCTTAAAGGGCCCATGTTCAGAATTATCGAACTCACTCCCTCTAAGCTTGGAGGGGAGGCAGCTCGAGGGGCACCAGAGACATACAGGGAAGAACTGAGCTGTTTGGCATTGGAGCGAGGGCTGGAGAGGACGCTTTCTCCGGGACAAACATGCTGTCAGAGGCCTTGTTCCTTTGGTGAGCCCTTCCCCGGGGCAGCAGACAGCCTTATCTGGGGCTCCAACAACCTGGCTCACACTGGTTGCCCTGCCCTGGTGATTCCCTGAGGTCCCGCCCCACCCAACTTTCAGACCCACCCAAGCTGTTGCCAGTTGCTTAACTATAGAATTGGCCTGCCTTGGATTGTGCTTCAGGTTTTCCTAAATTCTTTCAAATAAGCAGCATCTGGTCTCAGCTAGTCCCATACCTCTCATTAAGTAATACACAGAAACAAACAGGGAAGCAGTCAAAATGAGACAAACAGGTCCCAAATGAGAGAACAGAACAAAACTCCAGGAAAATAAGCGAAATGGAGATAAGCAACCTAACAGATGCTGAGTTCTAAATACTGCTTATAAGGATGCTCAATGAACTTAGTGAGAACCTCAGTGAACTTAGGGCCTCAAGAGCATAAAAAGGACCAGTCAGAAATGATGGATGCACAGTCAGAAATGAAGAAGGCGCTAACTGAAATAAAGAATAGTTTACACAGATTCAGTAGTGGAGGAGGTAAAGCCAAGAATCAGACCATTGATTTGGAATATAAGGAAGCAAAAAACACCCAATCAGAACAGCAAAAAGAAAAAAAGAATAAAAAAAAAATGAGGATAGTGTAAGGAGCCTCTGGGACAACTTCAAGTGTGCCAACATTCATATCTTGGGGGTGCCAGAAGGAGAAGAGAGAGAACAAGAAATCGAAAACCTATTTGAAACAATAATGGCAGAAAACTTTTCTAACTTGGTGAAGAAAACAGACATACAAGTCCAGGAAGCACAGAGAGTCCCAAACAAGATGAACCCCAATGGGCCCACACCAAGACACATCATCATCAAAATGCAAAATGTTCAAGACAAAGAGAGAATCTTAAAAGCAGCAAGAGAAAAGCAGTTAGTTACCTACAAGGGAGTTCCCATAAGACTGTCAGCTGATTTCTCAAAAGAAACTTTGCAGGCCAGAAGGGAGTGGCAAGAAATATTCAGAGTGTTGAAAAGCAAGAACCTACAACCAAGGTTATTCTATCCTGCAAAGCTGTCATTTAGAATTGATGGCCATATAAAGAGTTTCCCAGACAAGAAAAAGTTAAAGGAGTTCATCACCACTAAACCATTATTATATGAAATGATGAAGGGTCTTTTTGAAGAAAAGATAAAATTTATGAACAAACAAAATGGCAATGAATACATATCTATCGACAATTGAATCTACAAATAAAATGAACAGGCAGAATAGAAACATTCTCATAGATACAGAGAACATTTTGTTGGTTGCCAGATGGGAGGGGGTTGGGGGAATGGGTGAAAAAGGTGAGAGGATTAAGAAGTACAAATTGGTTGCTAGACTGACAAACCTCAAAGGGAAGGGGGTTGGGGGTGGGAAGAAATAAACCAAAGAACTTAGATGCATAACCAATGTACACAGACAACAGGGTGGGAAATGGCAGGAGAGGGGCGGGAGTGGGGAGAAGGGGGTGAATGGGGGAAAATGAGGAATATCTGTAATACATTCAACAATAAAGAAAAAAAAATTCTGGAAAGGGAAGGGCTTAAGGGATGTATTTCTATAGAGATGTGTGTGTTCAAAATAACCTCTTCCATGTTTTGAGGCAACAGTTGATATCATTTTTATTTCTCTGAAAATAAATTCCCTCAAGAAATTTATTTTAAATAAATTTAAAAATGTAATTTTTTAAAAGCTTAAGCTATTTCTTGATGTTTGAAAACTTCCAACTTCCCTAATTTGCTGTATACATTGTGGGGGAGGGGTGTGTGTAATATAAGGTTTTCTATATCTATCTGCTAGAACCAAATGAACCACCTAATTATTTACTATCCTAGGAGCTGGGAAAATATGGTCTGCTCTATTACAATGCACTGTTCATGATCCTGCCCACACTAGCCATTGCGTATTTTACAGGAGATGCACAAAAGGTATGACTTTTAATTGTGTTTAATGGCTTATGTTTTTAAATTGTATTGTTATGTATAAAGAAAAGATAAACTGTGGAGTTATTAAGTATTGTGCTTACCAAGGGACCAAAAACTGAAAATTTACTTTTTAGCTTGCTAATGTCATGCTAACCTTTTTTCTTGGCATAAGTATTGGATAGTACTAAAATCGCTCAAAATAGCTCTGGCTGTCAATATAAAAATAGTGCATGCCAACTAGTGTCCTTTTCTTACCAGCCAGAAGGAGAGAGGAAGGAAATTTTTACATTTCTACTAACCTACAAAATAGAAATAGTAGCAAAGTATCCTTGAAAAACAAAAAAAAATCTTGAAATTGTAGAATTCTTCATACTTAAAATTCTAGGCATCTCGAGAAGCTCTCTGTTTTAGTGTAGAATTTGTCATCCTGGCTTAAATCCCAAACTTTTTTTTTTCCCTCAGCAGATATTTTGCACTGTGTAGTGACTTAATCATAAATAGCAAATAATAGAATAGTTTACTTATTTTCTGCAAATGTTTAGCTAAATAAATCCAGAGTAGAGTAATAAAATAAATCCAGACAAGAATTTTTTTCTAAAGCAAGGCCATATTCATAGGCAAAAAATTAATAGCATTTTGTTAGAATTCACAAAATTTTGCAAACTATGTAAATGGAAATCTAGAATTCTGTCAAGGATTTTTGAACCATGGTTCCTTCTAATGATTTCCCTGGCTAGTAGTTTTTCCAAATAAATGTTTTGGTTATTTACCCTAATAACAGGGACAATTCCCACAAATCAGTGGGAGCTGAAATATACAAAAGGTTTTTGAAAGTAGTTAGACTGTTAAAAAATTGCTCTTGAATCAAAGGTAGCAGAAGGCTGACTGCTTCTAAAGCTGTTTGTTTGTTTTATCAAGAACTGTCTTGAAAAAAAAAAAACTGGTATAGTTTATCTTGAACATGTGTAAATGTTTTAATGAACTGTGTGACCTGGCTACCAGCAGGCCTACAAATGACACCAGAGTAGAAAATGGGGCTAATACTTGACTAATAGTGTTGAGTAGGTATTTGTGGCCATGAAAAAAGTGGGAAGAGAAACTAACATTTATTGAGTCCCAATTATGTGCTAGTCACTTTATGTATTTTATGTAATGTAGTCCCTGTAACACCTCAGAAAATTAGAATTTTCTGCGTTTTGCCAATGTGGAAATAAAGGTTCAGAAAGACAAAGTAACTAGCCCAGTGTCACATTGTCTGTGGGTAGTAGTAGGGTCCAGATTTAAAGCCTGGCTTGACTTGGTATTTCCTCTCACAGTGTTCTGCCTTCCTCTCACAGACTCTGACAGAAGCAACCCTCACTCTTTAGCTTTGGGGCAAGAATGTAATGTAAAATAACCAGGCCCCTCTTGGCAACACAGACTATTCTAAATCTTGAGGCCAATTTGTACATGAGAAAGTAGGAAGGATTAATGTGGTTAGGTTATTCTATACCTAACCACAACTTGGCAAAGATGGAATTTTTATTAACTTGAAATTCTGACTAGTAGCTACTTGAAAAAAATTGAACCAGAGAAGTTTCTTCATTCCAGAATGATAATAATTTAACTAGAAGTTATATGCATAACTCATGCATATTTCATACTTCAATAACACACATTGAATTTCAAATGCTTCAGTATAATTAAGAATGTTAACTCATTGTGGAAAAATTACTTGCCACCTGTATTAGGATGTAATTTAGATTTCCCCTTTCTCTCTTTTTTTTTAAGCAGTGAGTGAAATTTGAGTAATCTTTTGTCCCCAATGAAAATGCCAGGCAAAGGTCAAGAAAGGTTTATTTTGGAAGAATAATGGTTTATCTAAATACTTTCAAGTTGGGATGATAAACTAATTATGGAAGCTGAGCTCATTGCTTTGTGATCAAACTCCACTATTTTTGGTCCCACATGTTTGTTCATTCTCACTCTTATTATTAGAGTATTGTGGTTCTTATAACACTTTTATTGGGGTATAGATGGACACACTAAGTTGACAGTCTTACAATCTCGTGATTTTTTTCTTAACACTATCCCTTAATCTGCTCTCCCTCTGACATTCTCAAATAGTTAAATGCTATTGTGTGTCTCACAGTGTTAGGCTCAGGTGATAAGAGAAAAGAAGATGAGTTAGGTGGTATTCTTGCCTTTGAGGACCATACTATCACTTTGTGGAGCAGACCTGTCACCATCAGAGCAATAAACTATTCCAGGTTTTTTGGAAGAAATGTTTTGGATGCGTTGTGGGGTATAAAATGGAAAAGGATCAAGTCTGTCTCCTTGTTGGGGATGGACTGCCTCAAGGAACTTGGCCTATGCACAAAATTAAAATATAAGTGATAGGAATAATCAGTGTTGTTTTGGTAGGTTATGAATTGAATTTGAAACTTAGGAAGTAAGAATTCTAAGTTTGATTCTACTCCTAAATTTCTGCGATAAGTCACTTCAATTTCATTTTAAGTTCAATTAGATTGGTATTTCTGAGTATTTTTCTTGTGCTAAGAAAGCCCTATGCTAAGTTCTTTGGGAATTATATGAGAAATATAACATAGTTCTTGCCCACAAAGAAGACAGTTGTTATACTACAGAGATGTTGTAAGGTCTAGCACCAAAGTGTATGCCCATCAGTCAGTACTATTAAGTATTCAGGTTAGGAAGAAATTTATGTGGGTTGAATATCAAGATTGGTTTTCCAAAGGAGGTAGCGCTTGGTTTTCTTATCTACCAATTGCAACAAATAATGCTAACCTATTCTAGGGATTGTTATTGAGAATATAACTTAGAGAGGTAGTTGAGTGGTTTGCTTTAATTAACCAGCACAGAAACAATGGGTAGAAGCCACAGACAGCCTAATGTGTCCAAGAGTCTCATAGTATTCTACAAGAGGTTGCAGTTTGTTTCTTTTACTGGAAAATTCACTCTCACAGTAGTCAGTGGGCTGTTTGTCTGAAGTCTGGCAAAAAGAGTTCACATTACAGAGTGGGATATATGGCAGGATTTCAGGTAAGAGTTTTCTAGTAAGTCGGGTTCATTTTCAGTGTGTGTGTCTTTTAGACCTGTGCTTTTCCTCCAAAATATGTATACCTTTAATTGTACAAACATTCATGTATGTACATGTATTGTTCAAAGAATGGGTACTTTTTCATGTAACAGTTTTTCTTTAAATAAAGCTGTTCGCATATTAACAATTTGGGCCTACTTCTGGCCTTATAAATACTTTATAGGGTATGATGCCTTGTACATGCCATGATGCTCCACATAAATTATTTTTTCTGATCTTCATTGTATACCTGTGAGGTAGGTTATTTATAGAGGTTAAGGACATGCTTAAGGTTGTACAGTGGCAGAGCTTAGAACTAGAGACTGTCTGTCTGACTCCAAAAAGATCCCTTGTTGCTTGCCTGACTACATCTACGCTCCCTCTCTGACTTATATTTTCCCCCTGTTTGGGATTTTCACACAGGGCTTTCTTACAAAACAAGCTATTATAAACTTGAGAAACACCTAAGGGTAGTTTTAGAAATGGAGTCTCAGCCCTGGCCAATGTGGCTCAGTTGCTTGAGCATCGTCCCAAGCACTGAAAGGTTGCCAGTTTGGGGAATGTGCCCAGGTCTGGGCAAGATCCCTGGAGTAGGGGGAGGGTGCATGCAGGAGGCAGTTCAATGATACTGAGCTTTCACATGGATGTTTCTGTGTCTCCCTCCCACTTTGTCTCTCTCTCTAAAATATATATATATATATGTAGTCTCTGCAGCTTGGCCTTGTTACTTAATTGCTTATAAATAATCATATTTCTTTCATTCACTGAATATTTATTTAGTGCTTATTATGTGTCAGGTGCTATTCCAAGTTTAAAAATAAGACATGTTGCTGCTTTAAAGGAACTTGCATTTCAGTGGGGTGAGATAGATTGAACAGTAAGAGCTACAAAGAGAAATAAGATGAGGAGAGATATTGGAGAAGTCCTGTTTTGGATAAGATGGTTAGGGAAAGCATCTTTGTAAGTTTTATTTGAGTAGACTCAGTAGAACTGAGAGACTGACTTTTGTGGCTCTTTGGAAGGAGTAATCTAGGCAAGGGAAGAGCAAGTTCTGAGTGCTGAGGTGGGAGTGCTTAGCTTGTTCACAAGGAACATTTTTCGAGTAAGTAAATATCAGGGAAAGTCAAGGTAGGCCTTGAAAGATGTGGAGGAAGAGAAACAGAAAAGGTCCATTCAGTGTAACTAATAGCATGAGCACAGGCATGACTGCAAGAACCAGACTCTTCAGTATAGTTAAAAGAAGAAGGAAACCAAAGACTGTGGAGACTTCAGAAGAGACCTTAGAGAGCATCTGGCTCAGGCCTCTATTCCACAGATGAGGAAACGGGGGCCCAAGGAGGGCTCACGACTGGAATCCAGATTTCCTGACTATGACGAATGCGCTCACTCTTCCCACCACATCATACCCTGCTTCCTTCTGTTGGGACCAGTGTTAAATACAGGAATTTGAAACTTATTCTGCAGATAGTGACAAGTCCCTAAAAGTAAGTGGTACAGGTGAGAGAATTTGGGGCCAGAAGGCAGAGAACCAGCAATCTTTAATTCTTTCCCTGACTATGATCTGACTTTGGACAAGACCCTTTGCCCTCCTGCTCAATTTTGTCATGTGCAAATTGAGTAGGTTGGATCAACCAAGTTTATTGATTCTCTATGTAGGGCCCTTTCCAGGGCTGAGAGAGAGTTTCTGAGAAGTATAAGGCTTGCCAGTATGAAGACGAGGCTTCTGTTCTGACAGCTGGCATGAACCCTGATTCCTGGTAACCAGTGCTGATAAACTATTCTTGTCTGTTGGGCTCCTGGTTTTTCTGACCCAGATTTGTTATGTATTGAATGAAAAGATCTCCAAGATAAATTGTTAAATGAAAAGCACAGTGAAAAACAGTGATATGCTATCTTTTGAGTAAAATAAAAAGAGAACAATAAAAAT